AATAACCACATTTTATATTCTGAAACAAATATATTTTTTGTAAATTAGTGTACCTATATGTATTATTTATCACGTATTATACTTACTAAAAAATTAACGGTTTGCATCTTTTTCATTTTTATTTGGTTAGGATTAGATGGATTAAACTTTGTAAATGCCGGAACGCTGCACAAATCTGCGTAATTGACTGTTCCCCGGTGTAATAAATGAAAATTATGATTGTAACAATAATTCACAAAATCTAAAATATGTAATAAAAATTTAATAATTTTCTCATTTCTCACTCACACATATTAAGAAATAAAGTTGCTTAAATTTTTCTTCTACTTAAATCTTTATAATTTATTCTCTTGCATTGTTTTCCGTTTTTTTAAATTAAAAGTTAGCAAAAACAATAAAATTTTATGCGTGCATGTATAAATTTATATCTTATTACAGTAAACAATATTGAAACTCAACTGAAAAATAGAGTATTTATAAGCATTGTGACTAGCATTTATTAATAATAAAATTTTAATATACGTGTACAGGATGTTCCATTTTAACTTTGCCATCGAAATATCTCGTAAAGTCTAAAAGGTACGAAAAAATGTTTCAGACAAAAGTTGTATGGTTTCGAGGGGGACATAAGATGAATCTATTAGTTTGACCTTGAAAAGTCACCTGAAGGTCACCATCAACTTTTTAAATGGGACAATTTTAAAATGGGAAAATGCATAATTGTTTTTAAAAAAGAAATATGTACAATGGGTTATAAAGGGCTTGTAGAGCAAAAAAAACAAGTATATTACAAAAGTTTAATTATGTCAAGATGTACATCTTGATTACTTTTATTTTAAGAAATATGTAATTGTTGATTGCAAATTACATATTTTTTCTTCGAAACAACTATGTGTTTTCTTTACACCAATTGATTCCTCTCATTATTTTGTACATAAAAGTATTAAGGCAAGATCGAAAAATGAATATTTTACAAGATATTTCACGGTTTATGTAAAATTAAGAAATGATTTCAAGCCTCATAACTTAAAAAGTACTCAATGAAGAAATACTTTAGTATAGTGTTTTGAAAAGTTCTTGAGATATGCTAGAAAAATAAGTAATAAAAAATAGGGAATTTCAATTAAAAAATTGAAAATAATCTTTAACTGACCTTCAAACAACTTTTCGTGGTCAAATCAATGACAACATCTTATGGCCTCCTTCAAGCCATACAACTTTTGTCTGAGGCATTTTCTGCGGGAGGGTCCCGTTTGCTCACAAACGATTGCCCACTGCCAATCATATCGACCTGTGTCTAGGGTAACCAGCAACGATTAACCAATCAGAGAAGCCTATTTTGAATTGGCCAATTGGGATTATCGGATCCCGTTGGCTATCGGATTCCGTCCATTTTCTGCGTCCCTACCTGAGGAGATATTTCCGCGGACGGAGTAAAATGGCCACTCTGTATACATATATATATATATATATATATATATATATATATATATATATATTGTTACATCCCTGGTTCGAGTCGCGATCGAGTCCGGTTTGAGAAGAGAAGAAGCCTGTTGTTGACGTCGGCAGCAGCGTCTGTTATTTGAGTTTGGAGCCAGCTGTCTTGCTATGTGGACGCGTTTTCTCTCGAGCCGATCCGTTGTATTATTATTCTGTATTATTAACGTTATCGTTTGTGTTCTTGAGTTGCATTAAAGTTCCTTTGCTTCTTTAAAAGTGCTTATTTATTTCACGCGTCTCGCGAGCGGCCGATTCATTAGTGCGCGCCTTCGATATTAATCGAAGTCCTCGACGCAAGCGTAATAATATATATATATATATATATATATATATATATATATATATATTTATATATATACAGGGTGACCCATTTTAACTTAGGCAGCCAAATAACTCGAAAAATAAGCACACTACGAAAAAATGGTTAGAATAAAAATTTCGTCATTTCGAGGGGGACGTACAATGACGTTAAAATCAGCCCCCCCACCCCTCCCCCTGGGCGGAGAGGGGGGGGCAAGTTTGAAATCTTAAATGGGAACCCCTATTTTTTATTGCATATTCCTGTAGCTTATCTCGAGAGCTTTCCAAAACACTATAATTAAGTACCTTTTTATTAAGTACTTTTTGAGTTATAAGGCTTGAAATAATTTCTTAATTTTACATAAACCATAAAATATCTAGTAAACCATTCATTTTTCGATTATCTTACCTTCATACTTTTATGTACAAAATAATGAGGAATCAATTGGTGTAAAGAAAACATACAGTTGTTTTTAAGAAAAAATATGGAATTGTTAATTGCAAATTTACTGGCGCTACGTATTTGACCTTGGATGGCGTCGCCAAGATCACGACAAGGCCACCTTGAATTTTTGAAATGGAATCATCCACTTTTTGTTAATTGCAAATTACATATTTTTTCTTCAAAACAATTATGTGTTTCTTTTACACTAATTGATTCCTCTCATTATTTTGACTTTATTTTCTTACTTTTATTACATAAAAGTATTAAGGTAAGATAATCGAAAAATGAATATTTTATTAGATATTTATGGTTTATGTAAAATTAAGATATTATTTTAAGCCTCATAATTCGAAAGTATCTCAGTAAGCAAAATGTTAGCAGATTGGCAGCAGATTAGCAGCAAATTCGATCAGAATCTCACACCAGAACCGTAGCCAACCTGTGTCCATATTAAGCTTTTGTTTTGACGACAGAGTTTGTAAAACATAACTTGTCCACAGACTGTCGGCAGAAACCGAGCAAGCAATCTGATGGCAAATTGCGCGTGCAATCTGATGGCAAATTGACAGCAGAAACTGCACAAGATTTACGCTTACTTTTATTAATGTTATATAAATGCAACAAAATTGATTATTACAAGCGCTAAATAACAATATTATCGGCAAGATAATTACAATTCTTTTCTAAAATGACATATGTCATATGTTATAGTAATATATGTTATAGTAATATAATATGTTATAGTTATATGTAATATATGTTAATGTAATATATATTATATGGTAGTTATATCTCATATAGCGGACTAATTCCATTTAATTAAATTAATAATAAAGTAAATGATAAAAGTAAATGTAACTTATAAAACTGGAGATGTAATTTATTTAGAATTAAATTCTTGCTTTATGCCAAATAGGCAGTACAAGAATAATTTTCCATTTATCATATTGATTCCAATCAGTTTAATATTTTGAGTCTCATCTGTTTGTATCAGATATCAGAAATTAAAGATATCAGAAATTAAAGATAGAAATTAAAATGATAATTACTATATTTTTAATCTTATTCATATTCGCGACTTTATGTATATTTCTGACAAAAATTAGATTAGGAGAAAGTACAGCTCACGTAGCGGTAAGTGAAGGAACTATCGAATCATGCAAATCCTGTTCTGGTTCTATCAATCTGCTCTCAGAGATTGTATGCGCAGATCCTGCTCGGTTTTTGTTATCAATCTGCTGTCAAAATTGCACTGCACAAATCCTGCTCAGTTTCTACCATCAATGTGCCGTCAATTACATTCCGCGACAACAATTCCTTGGCTTCTCTTGTGGGGCAAAGGGACCGTAGAATTGACCAATCAGCCGCTGCTAGTTGATTGGTCAGTTCTACGTCCCCCTTGCCCCGCGACATCAGCAGGCTCTACCCGACAATTTGATATCAAATTTCATTGCGCAGATTCTGCTAGGTTTTTGTTATCAATCTGTTGTCAAAATTACGCCGCACAGATCTTGCTCGGTTTCTGCCATCAATGTGTCGTCAATTACATCAGCAGGTTCTACCCGATTTCTGCCGATAATTTAATATCAAATTTTATTGTGCAGATTCTGCTCGGTTTTTGTTACCAATCTGCTGTCAAAATTGCGCCGCACAGATTCTGCTCGGTTTCTGCCATCAATGTGTCGTCAATTATATCAACAGTTCTGCTCGGTTTCTGTTGTCCAGTTATGTGAACAGATTTTGTTGTACGTCTGCTGACATGCTGGCAACATGATCGAATATATCAATTCCTCTATGCAAACTGTAGTCTTTCTGCCTTTAAAATTTGTAATGGGTGTTTGACGAAAATCTGTTCTAACAGATTTGGCTATCTGGTACTCAATGAAAAAATGCTTTATTATAGTGCTTTGGAAAGATCTCGAGATAATCTACAAGAATGTGCAATAAAAAGTGGAGGATTCCATTTCAAAAATTCAAGGTAACCTTGGCGACGCCGTTCAAAATCAAACATATGGCGCCAGTAAATAGATCTTTTTACACCTTACAACTTTCGTTTGAAACAATTTTTTGTAAAACTTCTATTTTTTGTGATATTTCGATGTCTCGAACACTCCGTATGCCGCAGCGATGTAATGATACGTTTCCCAAGTTCATTTGCAAAAAATGATTCTTATGGTACTCCGACAATCTCTGCAAATTTGTCTGTTGAATTTCCAAACATCCTGTGTGTGTGTGTGTGTGTGTGTGTGTGTGTGTGTGTGTGTGTGTGTGTGTGTGTGTATATATATATATATATATATATATATATATATATATATATGTATATATACATATATATATATACATACATGAAACAGATATATATATATATATATATATATATCTGTTTCAACAGAAATACATCGTGTATATGTTTTAACCCTAATAATTTAAATCTAAACGCTATTTATACATCTCTGAGACAGTATTTTTATTGATTTTTTCTCAGTTTGCTATATATCGAAAAGATTACAACTTTTTAAAATGATGTTTTGGTTTTCCAAAAATCTGATTTTTTAGCTATTGTAAAAAATTATGATTTATCTATAATTATCTATTTAAATTAAAATAATAAATTATTTCAATATATTTTTGCATATTTTTTTCCCATTTGTATTAACACAAAACATACACATTAAGAACATATAAATTACATACGTAAATTACAACTACGGAAAAAAACTTTTTACAATTAATCTTAATATTTTTAATCCACTTTCATAAATTTTCAATAAATTATGTCCAATACTATGCGAATATTTATCCTAAAAAACAATTTATGTAATAATTATGTAAAAATTTTTGTACGCAAAATTATATATTTAACAATGAACATGAGAATATATACAAATATTGTACTCTGGATACAGTTTTATACTTTGGCAAAGAAGATGTATTTCACATTCTGTGTCAAGCGACTGTAATATCAAAGTTAAACTTTGGTCAGAACTCGATAGATCTTTCGAACAAAGCTGCTACATTTTCATAAGCAAAAAATTATGAAGATAATCAGAAAATTTAAAGCAAAATAAACAATAATACATTCTATAGAACGCTTAATTGGCGTCTATTGGCGATGTACTGCTTTTGATGAGACAGATCTAATATCGCAGTTGTTCGTTTATCAATAATATCACATTTGCTAGAAGAAATATACATTCAAAAACAATTGATTTTTGCGATGCCAACATTGAAAGTTACAAATATATAAAAACATTTGATGTACATATACTTATTATCATCTCCTAATCGTCGATGGAAATTTAAATTCCTTGAAGTTCCCTCTTGTTCATTTAAAATCACTTCAATTATTGCACTTAACTTCGACATGTTGCAGCTTTGAAGGGCTCCTGTTTGGTGTAGAATGCTGTGGCTTACCTACAATTAATTTTAAAATTCGTTGCATCAACAGCGATTAACGATAACGCCAATTCGCGAACTTTTATTTTTATCAACACATATTACTTGTTAGAACTATAATCTATAGAAATCTAATTAATTAAAGTATATAATTAAAAAACGATTGTTAATGTTAATGCTACTCACGTTTGACGAAATTAAATTGAATTAATTTAGATCAATTTAAAATAATTGGATTTTTTAATATTAAGTTAATTTTGATTATTTAGCAAACAATATATATATAAGATAATCATAAATATAGATGATAGCAAACAATATATATACAGGGTGGGGCATTTATCTTGAGACATCGAAATATCTCGTAAAGTCTAAAAGATGCAAAAAAATGTTTCAGACAAAAGTTGTATGGTTTCAAGGGGGACATAAGATGGTGTCATTAGTTTGATTTTGAAGAGCCACCTGAAGGACACGCGAAGGTCAGCTCCAACTTTTTAAATGGGACACCCTATATGCTTTTGCATATTCTTGTAGCTCATCTCAAGAGCTTTCCAAAACACTATAATTAAGTTAGTTTTCATTAAGTACTTTCCAAGTTATGAGGCTTGAAATCATTTTTTAATTTTACATAAACCGTAAAATATCTTGTAAAATATTCATTTTTCGATTATTTTACCTTAATACTTTTATGTACAAAATAATGAGAGGAATCAATTGGTGTAAAGAAAATACATAGTTATTTTTAAGAAAAAATATGTAATTGTTAATTGCAAATTACATATTTTTTTTCGAAACAACTATGAGTTTTCTTTACACCAATTGATTTTTCTCATTATTTTGTACATAAAAGTATTAAGGTAAAATAATCAAAAAATGAATATTTTACAAGATATTTTACGGTTTATGTAAAATTAAAAAATGATTTCAAGCCTCATAACTTGGAAAGTACTTAATGAAAACTAACTTAATTATAGTGTTTTGGAAAGCTCTTGAGATGAGCTACAAGAATATGCAAAAGCATATAGGGTGTCCCATTTAAAAAGTTGGAGCTGACCTTCGCGTGTCCTTCAGGTGGCTCTTCAAGATCAAACTAATGACACCATTTTATGTCCACCTTGAAACCATACAACTTTTGTCTAAAACTTTTTTCAAAATAATCGACTCCAATCGAGATATTATCTTGTCTCAAGATAAATGCCCCACCCTGTATAAGATAATCATAAATATAGATGATAGCAAACAATATATATATAAGATAATCATAAATATTATGCTAACGCTTGTGAACAGGTACAATGCAATAAACTGAAAACAGTCTTACCATTTTATAATTTTCGCAATTATTGAAATATTAATTTAAAAAGTGACAAATAAGCATGCATTTTGCATGGCTAAACTGTGTAATGTACACTTTAGATGTGTCAGCGGTATTACATAATAATAAAAAGACGATAGTCGAAGTATGCACAGCCAAACTTGTCACTTGACTTTGCTTAGCAGACTTAGAACACACATCTCATAGTCTAGTCGCGCGAAATGTCCGCTCATCCGTCAGCTATTTAATTAATATTTTTAATTAATATTTTAATAATTATTGTAAAAAAATTGCAAAAAATGGTAGAGGATTTTTCTGTTTAGTTTACTGCGCTTTACCCACTTACGAGCATTGGCACAATCTTTATGACATCCTGTATATCCTGTATAATCAAAAATAAATTTACAAAGTGTCTAGGAATAATCCGTGTATTTCTCATAAGCAGATGAAATGAGTTAAACTAAAGTCAACAGAGAAGTCCTTTACCATCTTGCGATGTTTGCAATAATTAATGAAAAATTAATTTAAAAAAGTAAACCAATTCCTCGCGAGTATTAATGCATGATGGAAAGAGATAATCCATTATTATGCAGTTACTAATCGCGCGATGAAGCGCCTAGGAAAAACGCTCTACAAATGACAATTATGTACAAATTGTGCGTAATATTTGATTCTCGTAGCGGTCGCGTACAGCTGATGGCTCTTCTCGTCGTGTGCTACTACTCATTGGTTGATCTTTTTTAATTAATTTCTCATTAATTAAAGCAAAGATCACAAAACGGTAAAGGACTTTCTGTTTAACTACTCTACCTGCATACGAGAAATGTGATAATTATTACTGGACACTTTGGATATATAATTATGTCTATGTGTTGTCTTTCTCTTATATAATCTCTGTCCGTATATACAAGAAAAAAAAAAGAATTAAAATTAAATTAGAGAATAGAATTAATTATTAAAAAATAATTTAAAAAATAATTTTTGTTTTTCATTTAGAAAAAATATTTGAAGTTTTAGAAAAAATTGCCTATAATCATAAATTTGATTTTCAAAAAACAATATAGAAATTATTATTACAAATGAACTATAAGATTAATTAAAATATATAAGTTAATTTAAATTTATTTAGATCGATTAAATAAAAATCATATTATTAAAATTAACTTTTGACGGAATTAATCAATAATTTTTTCGTTAATTTATAACTAATTCAAATTATCACTTATTATCACATCAATTCACCAAGCCTATTAATATAACTGTGATCTTTAAAATGTGTTTATAAAATAAGATGTTCATGCTTAACAGCTAGAATTTCCTTGTAAGTAAAATAACACATTGTATGTAGATGTGTGATGTGTGTGCGTATGTACGCGCACGTTGCGTATTTTGTAAATATGTTCATTATAAAATTTTATGGTAAATTTTTACATTAATGCATTCTCCCCCCTCCCTCCCCTCATTCTCTCACCCTCTCTCCCTCTCCTTTCTTTCCCTTTACTCTTTCTTTCTCGCTCGCTTTTTCTTCAGTAATTTTGATATCAAAATCATAATTATAACAATCTAAAAACTGTTAGCTAATTTATCGTTTATTAAAAAGTTATTAATAAGTGAAAGTACATGCAAAACAAGAGTTTGAACATATACTGAAATGAAAGATTCAAAATATTAAACAAGTTGTATTATTATACAAATATTTTACAAATATTTACATAAATCTCCATATATGGTATTTAAAAATGTTACAAATTCAAAAGAATATACAGGTTGTTTCATAAATAGTGGGCAAAATTTCAAGAAAGGATTCCTCATGCTTAGAGAAGAAAAAAAAATTAATCAACATAGGTCTGGAAATGATTAGTTGTTGAGTTATTAAGATTTTTGTCTTATTTCTCGTCTTAGAAGTCCTTTTACAGGCATCAACAATGTTTTTCAGGCCACCGAACTTGAAGAGTCAGACAGAGAAAGATAAGAATGTATGTGGGAGGAGGTCGGACGTGTCTTTACGCTCATTTGATCAACGAGCAACAGAATCCATCCGTGGCAACGGCATTAACGCATATCCTATGGAGAGAGCATTCACACAATTTTCAGCCTAACGAATAATTGCTAGAAAACAATATTCGCAGACTAGAAAAATATGTGAGACGCAAGTGACTGGATCGGGAATCGAACCCGAGTCTTTCGCTTTCCGGGCGACTGCTCTAGACCACTGAGTTATCCAGACCTCACACCTAATGCTTCTTTTTAACACAGTGATATGCGACTCTAGAGCGATGTTGGTATCTCACTCGGATGGATGCAATGCCGATTGCCATGAAGGATCTCTGAAAGGTCGCTCGCTGACCAAATAAGTGCCGGTGGAGGTATTCGCGTGCATGCTGGCTTCCGTATGAAACGGCACCGACGAGCCGTAGAGTGACTACATCCCCCAAGATCCCTCTAGTATATACTAAAATCCCCACTGTACCAAATTGCAATGGCGGATGGACCCTAATATAGGGCCGGGGCAAGCCTTCAGAGTCAGTAAAACATAATCTAACAACAGATTATCGGCAGAAACCGAGCAAGATCTGCGCAATGCAATTTGATGTCAGATTTTCTGATGTCGACAGACATCAGAATTTTCGCACGCAATCTGATGACAAATTGACAGCAGAAAGATAGGGATGTATGTGGGAGGGAAATCGAACAAGATTTACGGTTACTTGTTGATATATATATATATATATATATATATATATATATAAATGCAATAAAATTGATTATATAGGTACTAAATAAGAGTATTATCAATGAATTAGCGGTTAATTATAATTTTCTTTTAATATGACATATATGTTATATCGTAGTTATATCTCACATAGCGAAGGACCATTTTATTATTAATTTAATTAAATTAAATTAATAATAAAATAAATGATAAAAGTTATTAAATTTAATTTATAAAACTTGAGATATAATTTATTTAGAATTAAATTCTTGTCTTAAATAAATAGTAAATGAATAATTTTCCATTTATTCTATTGATTCCAATCAGTTTAATATTCTAAATATAATAGTCTCATCTGCTTGTATTCGATATCAAAAATTAAAGTGATAGAAATAGTGGCTATATTTTTCATCTTTTATTAATAATCGCGACTTTATATATATTTCTGACAGAAATTTGATTGCGAGGAAATACATCCCGGTAGCAGTAAGCGAAGAAACTTTCGAATTATGCCTTTTTGGCTTTTTCTTTCTTGCTTCAATCTGCTATCAGAGATTGTATGCGCAAATCCTGTTCAGTAATCTGACATCAAATTGTGTCGCGTAGCTCCTGCTCGATTTCTGTTCTCAATTTGCTATGGTAATTTTATGCAAAATTCTATCGCGTAAATCCTACTCGATTTCGGTTAGAGTCCTGCTCTCTATCAAGTTATGTCAACAGATTTTGTAAGCATTTTTACTAATATTCTGTTATCATTATCTGATATAACAAGTAGTTTTAGATACAATCTGCAGTCTTTCTGCTGACAATAATTTGTAGCAAGTATTTGGCAAAATCTGTTAGAAGATTTGGCTGACTGAATAAATTTGCAACTATCCACGAAAAGCAAAGTCCTACATCAGTCGGTATTTTCGGTAAAATAAGATTTATAATTATATAGTTTCATATAAATTCGCAACTTTTTGTAAAAGATCTATCCCACATTGATTT